TGTCACTAGCACTCAAAGTTTTCAGTAAGAAACCATGACAAGCATCAAGAATCTTGAGCACTAAATGGCACAACTTGCTCAATCAGTGAGCAAAATGCAGAATCAAGGAAAGCTACCTCCTCAAACTTAAAAGAACCCAAAACACAAAGCTTGTACAATTAGCTTGAGGAGTGGAAAGAAATATGATGGCCTGAAGATGCCCGAAGAAGAAGAAGAAGAAGAAGAGAAGTTGGTGATAGAAGAACTACTAAAGAACGATGAAAAGAAAGAAAAAATGGTGGAGAAAAAGAAGCTGAGAGAAAAAGAAGCAAAGATCACACCACCACCTTTTCCATCAAGATTGAGCAGCAACAAAAAAAAAGAGAGAGAAGATAGTGAAATCATTGAAATATTCCAGAAAGTTGAAGTCAACATCCCTCTTTTGGACGCCATCAAACAGGTACCTAGATATGCTAAGTTCCTTAAGGAACTTTGCACATCTAAAAAGAAGTTGCGAGGTAATGAGACAGTGAAAGTATGTGAAAATGCTTCTGCAGTTTTAGAGAAGAGGATGCCCCCAAAGTGCAAGGATCCGGGTGTTTTCACCGTTCCTTGCAAATTGGGAAACCTTTATGTATGTCGTGTTATGCTAGATTTAGGAGCTTCAATTAATGTTTTACCATATTTTGTTTATAAATCTATTGGCATAGGCACTTTAAAAAAAACGGGGTGATTATCCAACTTGCAGATCGTTCTATAGTACACCCAAAAGGTGTATTAGAGGATGTTTTAGTGCAAGTTAATGAACTTGTCTTTCCTACAGATTTTTATGTGCTTGATATGGGAAATGATGACAACCCAACCACGAGTTCCATAGTTTTAGGTAGACCGTTCTTAAACACAGCAAGAACAAAAACTGATGTCTATAATGGTACATTGTCTATGGGATTCGATGGGGAGGTCATCAACTTTAATATTTATGAAGCAATGCGGTACCCAAGTGATGTTCATTGCATAAATTTTGTTGATATAATCCAACCTTTGACTGAAAAGTGTTTTGAGTTTCTAACCATGATTTGTTGGAGTTAGTTTTGAGCAGGAATTTTGATAACAATTCAGTCAAAGAGATTGTAGGAAATTTCAAGTTAGATGAAGAGTTGCTGGAAATAGTGGAGATCATGGAAGAAAGAAAGAAAATGAGGTATGATAATAGCAATGTGAAATTGTCCATTTCTAACACAAAACTTCTTCCTTCTGTTGTGCAGGCACCTAAGCTAGAATTGAAGACTCTTCCAGACTTTGCCTGTCATTATCTCCAACAAGTTGTCCGTTGCAGAAGAAGATGAGTTGGTGACTTTGCTGAAAAAGTATAAGAAAGCTATTGGATGGACAATTGCTGACATAAAAGGGTTGAGCCCTTCCTTGTGCATGCATAAGATTCTCATGGAGGAAGACTTCAAACTAACTCGAGAGGCACAAAGAAGATTGAACCCACCCATGATGGAGGTGGTAAAGAAAAAAATCATGAAGCTTTTTGATGCAGGTATGATCAACCCCATCTCAGAAAGCAAATGGGTTAGCCATATTCAGGTAGTCCCAAAAAAAGCGGGGGTCACAGTTGTCAAGAATTTCGAGGGAGATTTGGTGCCAACCTGTGTGTAAAACGGGTGGAGGGTTTGTATTGACTATAGAAATTTGAATGCCTCAACGAGAAAATACCATTTTCCCTTGCCATTTATTGACCAAATGTTAGAGAGATTAGCGGGTAAATCTCATTACTGTTGCTTGGATGGTTTCTCAGGTATTCATCAAATTCTGGTAGCCCCGGAAGACCAAGAGAAAACCACATTCACTTGTCCCTTTGGCACATTTTCTTATTGGCGTATTCCTTTTGGTCTATGCAATGCACCCGCGACATTTCAGAGATGCATGGTGAGCATTTTTTCTGAATATGTTGAAAACATCATTCAGAAATATTAAATAGTTATTGACCACACGAATTGCTTGTATTGTTCCTATTATGCCTAGTATGGTTAGATGTGTTAGACAATTAGTGGAAAAAAATATTAAATAGTTGGTTTAAACGAAACCGCCCCTTATGAAAACCTACTAAATTCCTTTGACCATAAGCCAATTGATCGCTTAATGATTGAGTCTATGATGCTGAATTTATTGAGTTCTGTAAACAATCAAAAAGGGAAAATAGTAAATAATGATTACAAAAAGAACCAAAAAGAAGGCATGAGTTTAATTATTACCCTCAAAGCATTTTCCAAAAGAGAATGTGTGGGATCGGTTTGTTGAAGATTTGCTGATGTGTGTTCCAGCATTCCCTTTAGAAATGATGCACCAACTTGATCAAACATGGCGTTGCAAGACATCTCAAAAGCAGCACGAGTCGGATTATTTTCGTTGACTTGAAGAAATTAGGGCTGACCAGTACCGATACAGCAACACAGGGTTGCTTCATTCTGTATCGACATTTGATTTCCCCTTTATTCCTTTCTGTTAGCACACAGCAAAACACGGGAACAGTCACCTTGAACAGAGTCGACCGGCGCGGTTGGTGTCGGCTTCTTGTAGCTCATGGTTGGTATATACCTTCACCATCACATGTGTTTGTATCTTCGGCAGTGCATTCCCACCACCGCTACCTTTTCTGGTGGCGACGCTCGCATTTTTTCCGTTTAATGCCATCTCGATCAATCGATCTCTAAAGAAAGATGAAAAGGACTTTGAGAGAATATTGGATTTTAAGAGAGTAGAAGAAGGTTGGAGGTGGATATTAGCGAAAGTAGGCGATGGTGGATATGGGAGAAAATCATGGTCGCCATTCGGATTTAGACTGAGAGAAGAGCATACGACATAATCGGTGAGAGGCGGTGGAGGGGTGAAATACTGTGTGCGGGTAGAGAACATGTGGCCTCCACCGACCAATTTATTAAGGCTGAGTAAGTAAGGAGATGCAGAAAAACAAAAGAGGGAAGACGCCACGTTTGTTGTTGTTGTTAGAAACTGATGAGGAGGCCAATTCTTCAACCTAATTAAGAGGAGGTCAGGGATTAAGAAAAGTAAACAGATGGCGGATAAAACTGTTAAAGAGGAAAATAGAAGGACAAAATTTAAAATGAGGCCAATTCTTCAACCTAATTAAGAGGAGGTCAGGGATTAAGAAAAGTAAACAGATGGCGGATAAAAATGTCAAAGAGGAAAATAGAAGGACAAAATTTAAAAAGATATAAAAAGATGGACAAAAGATGCCAAAAAACTAGCAAGTTTACTGTTCCTATTCTTCAAAACTTTAATATATATATATATATATATATATATATATATATATATATATATATATATATATATATATATATATATATATATATATATATATATATATTAAGAAGGGAAAAATGCAAAAAAATAATAATAATAATAATAAAATAAAAATAAAAATAAAAACCTCAACCAATTATACATGTATATGTAGAAAAACCTTTATATTATTTTTATGTTCAAAAAACCTCTTATATTAATAGTTACCATTCGAAAAAGACCAAAATACAGGTTGTAAGAGAAATTGACAACTTAAAATCTAATGTTTCTTATATTTTTATTTTTTAATACGATATTGATTTTAATTTGGGATAAAAAAAAAATGATTAGTTAAGAAGAGAAAAATCAACCATATAGATAACACAATCGAGTGAAACTAATCCAAATGTATGTCGGTTTGACATTTTTTTTGCATACAATCGAAGAAATATAAGGAATATGTATCTCGTATCATATTTTTCATCGGTCATTTCTCTTAAAAATTTATGATTTGTTTTTTTTTGTTTTTTTTTTGTTTGTTTTTTTTTTTTTTTTTTGAAACGTAATAATAATATAAGGGTTTTTCTGAACATAAAAATAATGTAAAGGTTTTTTTTGCATATACTTGTATAATTGGTTGAGTTTTTTGTGTTTTTCCCTAATAATAATAATAATAATAATAATAATAATAATAATAATAATAAAAGCTCCTAATGTTACCAAAATTGTTTGAAGATTTTTGAACCAAGGGTGTTTGATGATTTTAGGATCCCTTTTGAGTATTCGTCCTAAACTCCTAATCGTGTTCAGCCTAACTAGATCATCTGGATGTATTAGATAATATAATATTATTATTTGATTTTTTTTTTGAACGGCAAATCTAATATACTCCTATACTCCTACACAACTTGTTATTCTCCATTCATGTCCCTCACGGGACTTGAACCCTCAACCTTAAGGAGGAATGACAACACCGGATACCGTTGACTAGAAACCCTTTAGTTATTATTTGATATTATCATTATATTGTATCTATGTTTGATACATCTATCGAATTTATGTTTAATATAACTTTCATATTTTAGTATTAATATTAGCATCAAAATCTACAATATAGTCTATAAATATTTTCAACAATGTAGTTTATAAATATTTTCTATTTCTACAATATAGTCTATAAATATTTTTGAGATTAACCACGATGACAAGTAATATTTCTAAGATCTTAATAGTAACAATGTTTTCCCCAAGACAAAAGACTTTTCAAATGTCATTTTATTTTGTCCTATGTTTTCGTTGCCTAACCAAGAATCTAACAACACAAATATATCAATTAATTTATAAGTAAAGGAAATGAAAAAGGGGGAAATGAAATCATAAACAAATACAAAGAAAGTAAAAAGTTTCCTTCAAATGCAAGAAGGGAATATCTGTCACATTGTTCCTACTTCCTACATCATTGTACAAGACCTTTTTTTCTAAAGAAAAATATTACAAAACTTATATATATATATATATATATATATATATATATATATATATATATATATATATATATATATATATATATATATATATATATGAAAAATTATGTATATATTGGAATAGGAGGAGGCAACATGTATTTCCAGAACAGAAATAACAAAATCCAAAATGGTTACTGCTATACTAAGTTATACATAAAGCAACAAAAATTGTACATAGCACTGAATTTAGTCTTTTCCGCCATTCCTGACTAGCAAGAAATACCCCAAAACAGCACAAACAGCAGCAACCAAATTCCCTTCTTTGATCAATATCTTACCCACCGTCCGAGTAATCTCCGCCGTCAATTTCTTCCCTTCGACCACCAGCGATTTCCTCGGCTTTCCAAAAAATGTCAACAAAACCAACACAGATATCCAGGTGACGACGGTGGCCGGAATCGCCACGGCTAAAGCGGCCGCCATCGAAAGAAGGCCGAAAATCACACCCAAAGCCACCGAAGCGTAGATCGCCGGCCAGCCAGTTGAGGACGAAGGAGAGGTGGTAACGGCGGCGTCGTACCATGATAGAACTGATTGTAGGAGGTTCCATGATGATGACAAGAGGATTGTGTAGACAAATAAGAAGAGGAAAACCCATGTCCGGCGTTTGCTCATGAGCTTCAAGATAATCAAATACGTCGGGGAGGCAGTAGACGTCGGCGTTTGGTCCTGCTCTTGTCTATTACTGTTAACGGCCATTGGATCCGGGGCTGTATTATCTGTGTAGATTCAGTTAATGACTGCGTGAGTGGGTGGAATTAGGTTGAAATTGAATGAAATGGTAAAGAAGGAGGATGAGATATGGCTCACACGCTTCAAGGACCACCACCACACTTATGTGAACATCTCTAGGAACTTTGTCTTGTAATGATTTATTGATTTCTAAAGATTTAGTAAAGTAACCGATGCTTATAAAACAATTTGTTTTCTGCCTAAATTAACCTTTTGTAATTTTATATTGTTTTTAAAAGACAAAATTAAATAATCGGGTATATGGATGAAAATGGAGTGGAGTTGACGACTCATTTTTCTATCCTCGGGTGTCTAACCTCGTCTTCATCACCGTCCCGACGAATATAGAGAATCAAATCTCAACCTCTTTAGATTTTTGGTTTTTCCCCAGCTCGTCGTCGTCCATTCCCGATCTATCAAAATAACAATTTCAACTTATGTAAAAAAATAAGATCTATCAAAATAACAATTTCAACTTATGTAAAAAAATAATTAAAGTTTAATAAGCAATCAAAATCAGATGTCATAATCAGATTATATTTACATCAATTATAAAGTTTAACAAACATGGAAACTAGAAGCGACGATTTCATATACACACCCTTGAGCAAAGTGATGACTGATGAACTTTTGAAATTGTGAACGTAGTTTGGTATACAGAGTTGGTCGTTGATGGTCTAATACATCTTAATTCATGCTTAGTGGACTTAATTCAATATATATATATATATATATATATATATATATATATATATATATATATATATATATATATATATATATATATATATATATATAAACTATCTTATTAAACATATTACATATTTCTTGAAATTTAAGAGGTACAATACCTACTGCCTCATGTAAAACTTATTATCCAATATCCGTTTACGGAATTAATCTTAAATATTACTAAAAGAGAAACTTTATGACATCATCTTAAATAATCTGGATCATTGATTGTATTTCAATCTTATTTTTTCCACCCTTAGATCAAATTGCTGACATCATCTTCCCCATATGGAATGTATTTAATTCCAATAAATGTTTTCCAATCATCAATCAATAACTTACATTCATTGAAATGGAATGTATTTAATTCTAATAAAAACTTTCCATATTTTACATCTTGAATTTTCAGTTATGAAGATTTTAATATGATCAATTTTAAAAATATATTACTAACAAATCATTTCAATCAAGGCCTTAATATTAACCATTAATATAAATCCGTTTATATTAGTAAACCAGTAATATAAAATCTTTTTTTATTAGGAAATCATTAATACTGAAAAATCATATTCAAATTATCACATACATATACGATTCATCATTGAATCCACGACTCACATTTATTTTCAATCGATTCTTTTCTTCAAACCTTCTCCTACAACATCGTTAATATTGCTTATAACTTCCATCATCATTCTCTGCTATCAACATTCGCTCTTGTGCGCTAGAAGGTCAGTACCTTTTTTCGCTTTTTATATCTTTTTCGATCATTTTTTGTTCCTATATCAAATGTATGTATTCATATATTTCGATTTTGTATGTCACAAATTACATGAAATCAGTTAACTACTTTTCTGAAACTTTTCAAATAAACATGAAAAGGTATTAGGTACCTTTAACAAAACAAAAATTAACTATCCTAGGAACTCACATTAATTACGAAAATGTTACTTTTATATATTAGAGATGATTATGATTTTTTTTTTAATTTTTATGTCATAAGAGTCCGGCTAATTTTGGCATCATTTTAAAATATCATTGAAATTATTATGTTTTTATATATTATCAACCTACTTTTTTATCTTCGTATAGTAACAATAAAATTTATTAATTTACACAACAAATATAGATATTTCAAATTTTGTAATATTATTATACCTTACAAAATACAGCTCCTTCCAAAATAAATTTTCATCAGTAATTTCATCCATAATTTCAACAAATTTAAATTTGTATTTTATTTATATAAATTTTTTTTAATGATCCCTGATTTTTTTCTCCAAAAGTATATCAAACATTTACGTTTTAGATAATGTTGCCCTATTATAATTATTATTTTCCAAAAGTATATCCGTTTAATGAGAAATTTGATATAATAAAGGAAGTGAATGTTAATTAAATGAGATATATATTCCATAATTATTACATGAGTTTATTAAAAAAGTTTATATCAAGGTGTAAACATTAAACATTTTTAAAGTGAAATTTCAGAATACATACAAACGATAATGTTGTACAATGAAATATAAAATTGAATACACTAAAAAAAAAAACACTATTAAAGCAGTCAATCTTGAAAATAACATAGTTATAAAAAATTATAAAGTAAGATTAAAATTATAAGATATTAGGAGATTTGTAAAAAGTACATTTAATAAAAGCGTTACGGTTATTACAAAAAATAAGACCGTTAAGATTAGTGAAAATACAATATATAAACTAAATTATCATAATAGTAATGAAATGTCATTATTTGATATTTCATATAATTGACAGATATATCAAATTAAATTGATGATATACTAAAATTATTCAAAGTTGCACCAAAACTAATGCAAAATTTTTGCGAACACTAAATAAATAAGAACAAACATAAAAGCTAGCAATTTATATTTATAATCAATTTAAAATAAACCAATCATGATTTAGAAAAGAATCTCCATTGATGATATACTAAAATTAAATTTATATAACATTTAACATTTTATAAATTATATTACATAACTTTTATTGAATAAATAAAATAGTTGTTAATATTTAATACAATAGAAAAAACGGTATATTAATTGTCAATATATGTTTAAATTAGGTAACATTAGTATGCAATGAACGTCTAATTAAAATGCTATATATATATATATATATATATATATATATATATATATATATATATATCATAACTATATAACACGAGGAAAATCGTTCAACTAATAAAACAAAAAATGATGTCTACAAAAAGATGTTTCAATGATTTTATATATATATATATATATATATATATATATATATATATATATATATATATATATATATATATATATATATATATCGTTTTCAATGTATTTTCTACATATTTCAATAATACCAATAGTCATATATTTTTTTTTATAATCATTATACAATATCTATAAACGATTATATGTTTTTTTATGCGTTTCCCGCGTTTAACGCGGGCTATAATCTAGTTTGGATATTAAACAATATTTTTTATTCCTAAAACCCCAAATCAGTTCTTCATAAACGCACAAATCCTAAAGGCACCCCATTGCCATTACATCTTCTACCAATCTGTTCTTCCTGCTTTCATGAAAAGAAACATGCATCGCATATTTCATGAGCCAACATCTTCACCAAGAAGCGAGCGTCACAACCATAGTCACCGACTCTACACCATGGATCGTAATCGATTTCTCACTCCCAGGCAGATACCTACATCGATTTCTTCTGCAATTCGTCTTGGTTTGGTTTCGGTTGGTGGTTTTTCCAAACTTTTTGTCTGTTTCTTTGTTGGGTTATGGTTAACGAAGGTCGATTGTTAGGTTTTGGTGTTCAATTTTTTTGTTTGACTGCATTCGTCACTCAAAATATGAGGTTATCAGATTCGATTATTTCTTGATTTCTTCTTCTACTTTCTTACACATGTTCTTCGTTAACTACAAACTCAAATTGGGAACAAACAAAGCAACAATTACATTCCAGATTACTAAAAATTGAAATGGAATGTTCAATTCCACTTTGGAGATGAACTTACGCCTGATTGACCTGAAGATCAATGGTCTTCAAGCTCCTACCCATGATCATGTATGTCTTAAACCTATTACATGAAGATTTTTTTTAAGCTTATGATTGTAGTTGAAATGGTTACCACACCACCAATATAGTAGTGATCTATGGACTCCTTAGGATGAGGATCTTGATGTCATGTGGATGCTTTTGATCACAGGTATTTGGAAGCTTATAAACTAGATGTGGATACCAATATGGTGGGTTTTAGAAAATTCATAAGAGTAAAATTTTCTTTGATATGTAATCGTTTGTATTTTTATCTTCTTGAGTTTAGGACTACAAAAGGCCAAACGAAAACACTTGTGCTTTAGAGATATAAATACCGAAACAAATGGAGGTGCCTCTTTGGTTCTAATAAAGCAAGGCATGGAGGCTGTGAGATAATTTTTTTTTATATAGTTAATGTAATTGGATTTCCTAAATGGGGCCCATGCTTACATATTTTTCTGATTGATGATACTCAGAGAGTCTTTGAGTCAACGTTTGAGGGAAGGAAGTCAATTATCAATGAACGATTCCCAAATAAGTACACATCCAACTTTAGATTCAAAAGCTCACACTCAACCGCATAATTGAAGTTTGTTGACAACTATTTGATTTTTAATGTTCAAAGATTTCATTTTTGTTTCCTATAATGTAATGATTGATGTTTTTTCATGGTTTATTTTATAGGAGGCTAGGTTTATGACAAAAGCTAGAAGGCTTGGAGTTTCTACTCCTATGCTTTATGCAGTAGACACGATGTGTTATGGCGTAGTGACAAAATTAAACCATTTGGTATTTAACCTTTATTTAATATAATATTTCAGTTTTATAAGATTTTTATTTTTCACTTTGTGTATGAACTTTGTTTATCTTTTGTCAGGTAGTAATAAATTTTGGCTTGGGCTTTGTATTAACACGTTGTAACATACCAAATTTCAAGATCAAAAAATTCATTTTGATATAACTATTTAGAAAAACATTTATAAAAAAACATCATCATATCACATCATTTCATAAAACCGTAATCACATATCTCAAACCATCTCATGAAAATAGTAATAAAGTCAGAGTACAATCCCAAGAAACTCATAATGCGGAAATCATGTATGTGTGATACGCTGCTACCATGCTGACTCCTTCCCCTTCGATGAAGAGGTACCTGAAAATCAAAACTGAAAACTATAAGCACGAAGTTTAGTGAGTTCTCCCATCATACCACATACCACATAACTAACATACTGTCAAACAATTTCTTGGGTGCCGGACCTACGCTGTCTGGCAATTCTGGGGTGCCGACCTACCCTATCTGGGATTTCTGGGGTGCCGACCTACCCTGTCTGGCAATTCTGGGGCGCCGATCGACCCTCCGGTTTATCTCATCTGGCTACGAGGAATATTTCACCCCTACTACTACCACATAATAACATACCATAAACATATTGTCAAGCATATATGGGGTGCCCGACTGTCACAACTAGCATCCTAGCTAGGAAATTCTGTACTCTTGTAAACATTATCTACTGTTAAACTCGTATCCCTAATTCA